ATTTCGGGGAAACAGAATGTCCGAGTCCTTGCCAGCGGCTTACTTACCTCAAAGTTAACTTAATACCCCGAAGTTTCAGTGTTCTAAGAAATGGAAATGGCCCTTTAGTTCAACACATCCTATCCCAAGAAAAACTGTGTGCTTCTGAATTCTAAAAATAAAGATGTACAAACGTCTGGGTTTCTTTTTTTTCCATTTTCAATTATAACATACCTTAAGTAAAAATATTAATTAACAATATAATATTAAGTGTCATATTCCCTAAAACTGAGGAACTGAGGGATTTGTTTCACACTCCTAAATAACTTTCATTTTTATTACACATTATTACAAAAGACATCAACTGAGAGATTTTAATGTATCAAACTTGGCTAAAATTTTCATATGCATCATTACATAAAAAAATCACTAAATTACATATCTTAAGGCACACTATCAGGTTTGAGCTACTTCTTAATACTATTAATTAAAGAACACGGTGATCACAAAAAAATCCTGCAATTCTACATAAAAAAAGCAGAATAAATGTAATCAGAGGGGTAATTAAAATAAGTAAGGCATTTGTAGCATTAATAATCTTAACACAATATAAATGTTATTAGGCACAAATTTTTCATTAGACATTATTATTGGGCATGTTTAAAATAAACCATACAAGGGGTTAAAAATAACTACACTAAAAGGCCAAGAGCCTTGCAGCCAAGTTGAGCCAACATTCCCTTCTCTCCTCCCCTCCCCTCCCAATCCTGTCCAGTCCAGAATGAATTGCATGCCCCACTGCACAGGCCCAAAAAGGTCACAGGAGATGGCAGACACTTTTGTAAGAGAACAGAAATAACTCAGCAGCTTTGTTATCGTGGTCGCTTTTAATCAGGGTGTTCAAAATCCTTTAATTAGCACTCTGTCTATACAGGGAAAGCATTTCTGGGCCTGGGAAAGGCATGTATGCATGTATGTATGCAGTGTTCCCTTGTATCGGCATCGCAACATGGAGCTAGCACCTCACTGTCTGCCGGGGAACTGAAGCACATAAAACTCTGTGATGTTGGCACCACACAAGAGATCTGTATGTTTTACATCCTTATTACCAAACAACAAAGCAATGATTGTGTTTGCTTCATTTAGGTAAGATTTCTGGCCCTTTTCTCAGCAAAGCTTGAAATACTTTAAACTAAGGGTGGTGAGACGGCTTAGCAGGTCCCTGAGCTCAGTCCCAGGAAGTCCCAGGTGGAAGGAGAGAAGAGACTCCTGCAAGTTGTCCTCGGACTTGTACCCTGTACCACAGCATGCTCGTGCGCACGGATGAGCACAAGTACTCGCATGCATGCGCATGCACGCACACACAAGTAAACAATAAGTACTGGAAGAAGCTTTTAAACAACAATTTCTTTAGTAAATTAAAATAGGAAACGAAAAGTTAATATTAAAAAAGTTACGACAAAACCGTAGTATTTCACCCTCATCACAGATCTTCAGTACAGAAGTACTACCTCACATGACTAAACTAAATCCTAAGACAACACTTTCATAGGGAAACTGCACATTTAAAATGAAACACAAAGTCTTAGAATATTATTTAAATACACTTTACTGAAAACTACAATTAACCTAAAACCTAGAAAAATATTTGCAACAGTTAAAAATAGGCTATTTGCAAATTTGCTGCCAAGAAATAATAGAACTCCATTATTTAAAAGGAGATTTGTAATATCTGTAATAAGCAGGAGGCATAAACTTTACTTAAATAAAAGGAGAAGAAGAAGGAAAAACAAAGAAGGGAAGGAAAGGAGAGAGGGAAGAAGGAAGGGGTGACGGAAGGAAGGAAGGAAGGAAGGAAGGAAGGAAGGAAGGAAGGAAGGAAGGAAGGCAGGCAGGCAGGCAAGGAGGGGTAGGGTGAAAAGGAGATGGGGAGAAGGTGACTCTAAAGAAACTCTGAGAGGAAAGCAAGGTATGGGAACTATATATAATATGCTAATATTTTAACAAATAAAGTTCATATTCAGAAGACTATGTGACAAGTAGAAGGCTGGGAAGATGGCTCACTGGGTAAAAATGCTTGCTGTGCAGGCCTCGACACCCGTATGTAAAAGGCTGTGTCAGTGGGCAGACAGGCAATCCCAAGAAAGCTCACTGACCAACCAGTCTAATGGTGAACTTACGGTTCAGGGATTCCCTGTCTCACAGCAGTAAGGCAAACAGGGATGGAGGCAGACAACCAACTTCCTGTCTAGCCTGTCCATGAGTGTGCACACCAACATACTCACATACATACAAATACACACACACACACACAAAGGAAGTTATGCAAATAAATAATAATTCCCTTTTGGTGAGTGAAACTGTGCTTGACACAGTCTCAATAAATAGAAGTCTTAATTATTCCTTTTTCAGAATCATCAAGACATTCTAAGGTCAGACACCTCTACTCTCAGCACTCAGGAGTTAGAGAGTTCAGTGTATCACTATGAGTTCAAAGCAAGCCTGCTCTACACAGCAAGTTCCAGGCCATCCAGAGCTACAGTGAGTCTCAACTATTTTCTCCCATGACTCCTTCCTTTTCTTTCTCCCTCTCCCTCTCCCCGTCTCTCTCTCCTCTCTCTCTGTCTCTCTCTCTGTCTCTCTCTCTGTCTCTCTCTCTCTCTCTCTGTCTGTCTGTCTCTCTCTCTCTCTCTCTCTCTCTCTCTCTCTCTCTCTCTCACACACACACACACACACACACACACACACACACACACTGCATTCAGCTAAATCCCAATGGGGTAAAAAGTCAAATCCCAACTAGTCATAGGCTGACAGTCTAGTGGGAGATCCACACCCTTCATTCTCTCACAGATCTAAGCGGCTTTTTTCCATCTTACTCATGACTATTGCCTCCACCAGAATATGGGGTGAGGAAACAATACCAAATCCAGTCATGACAGTGTTGGGAACTGAAAGGAGCCACTGAAATTTGATAGTACAATGCCACACAGTATTTTTGAAGAAACTAAAGCCCAGAGAATTTCCCAAACTAGGGGCAATTCAAAATCTTAGCATTAGCTCCTAGGTTAGAGGTTTTCTATTTTGGTTTTATTAATATCGGAGGAAGTGAAAACAAGTTGAACAGAAATAAAATTGTCCTTGTTAAGTACCTTCCCTCGTCATCTTTATTAGATAGCCAAACTTGATAAGAGGAAACAAAGATCCCACACGTGTAGAAAGTGTAGTACAAGTCAACAGAGACTTGAGTAGCACAGTCCTGAGGGTCCCAGGACCAAACAGTGGATGAATGGAGTAACATCTGAAAAGGGTGCTTACACTAGAGATTGTCAGGGGCATGTTGAAATCCTTGCCACCTTGGAGACGGAAGCCCCAAGGGGCTGGGCCGACCAACGACACATTGTAGTTGCTCATGGTTCCAAGGTTCGATGTGGAGTTCCAGAAAAAATGCAAGAAACTACAAAAGAAAGTTAGATGGTTAGTAAAAATGTTTATTAGAAACTGAATTACATATATCAATGCATTGTCTATCAAGCCAACAAAACTATTCAGTATTTTGGGTTGGGGTGAACCCAAAATACAGATTATATCTAGCAAACTCTTGATTAATCTCAGCTGAGGAAAAGGAATCCATGAGCTAATCAACATTTATTTAATGCTCATGCCAACTCCCAGTCAGAAAGTACTCTTAGACATCTGTCCAGGTTTACAAATTGCAAAAACCAAACTTTGTGGGTTCTCATATACGAACTTCAATATCTTATTGGTGGAATTATATACCCAGACGGAATGTGATTTTACTTCGACTATAACTCAGTGTGACTGTCCTGCAGCATCCTGCGCATCCTTCTTTGCTGTCATCAGCAGGAACACTTTGGATCTCACTCACTGCAGTCATGTGACCACATCACAGAACTGCAGGTCTGTTGGCTCTGTTTGTGTCTTCTAAATAATTAACTATTTAAAGATGAGATGAGCCCAAACTACTCTAATTAAGGATGGTAACTCATAGCCTCTTCTACAGGAATACGGTAGTTCCCACAGTCGAGGGAATTTCAAGTGTTGCTTTACTCTCAGTGGGTTTAGATATCTACTTGTGCTTCTGAATTTAGTGTGCTGGGACAGAAGTTTCAGTGGGTTTTAAAAGTAGAAAAGTATATTAAGGCAGGAAAGAAAAGGCAGCTGATGTTAACAGTTCAGATTTTCTAAGGAAGAATGATGCTTGTCTTAAACTGGGGGTTTTGTGTTGTTGTTCTTTGTTTATTTGTTTGTTTCTGGGGTGAGAATTGATCCTAAGGCCTTATTGTCTTTTTATACAGGCAATGCTAGGCTATATTCTAGAACAAGTGATATTTTAGTCTAAATCTTTGTTTTCTTTTATACTCATATCATCCAGCAGAGAGTAAGTCTCCTGAGCCAGTAAATGAGGCTATACTAACCATAACTGAAATACAAGGTTGACCTTAATGAAACTAAATTGGAGCCTTTGAAAATTACCATGATACTGTCCTTTTTTTCCCCTGTCTTGTTGTAGTGAGGCTCATAATGACTCCAGGGGTAGATCTTTCAAAATTTACTTAAGGGTGTCCTATTAATAATTAGAAGGCATTGGGAAGAATGAAGGTAGTTTCCGCCTTAAAAAGAATATTAAAGACATACAGTTCTTCCATTTAAAAAGTATGGTAGGTGTATAATTTCATAACTTTAAAGACACTTGTCAAAACAAAGCTTTAAGGGATGGAGATATAGCTCAATGGTAGAGTTTGTCAAGCATCTGCGAGAGCTTAGGACCAATTCCCAGTGCAAAAACAAACAAGCAAACAAAAATATATTTCTGACTTCCATAGAAAATTTGTCCTGTTATATCAACCACCTTCATATACTCTGTTTTAAATCCACTCAGAGGTCTAGCCATCATATCAAATCCAGCAGCAGATGTGCCCCTGAGCAGAAGGCAAACAAATTTCTTCTTCTCAAAAGGGTAAAAATCTAGTTTCTAAAGGAAAGTGACTTGAGGGACAATGTGCACTGTGAAGCTTTTCAGATGGAGAGGTAGTACTGAACTACTACAGAGTGCCATTACTTTAGCACATACACTCTCCGAGGGAAGCACAGAGCTGGAGGAGGTTCGGCATAGCCTTCGCATTCTTCCCTTGGCTGAGGTAAAGATTAAAAAAAGACAGTAAGCAATGGCCATACCCAAAGGGCGTCAGAAGTCAAACCGTTAAACTGCAGTTGAAAAACAAATGGGAGGGAATTAATAGCATGCCACACAAGATCGCTTTTCCCTTAGAAAAAGATCTCCGCAGGACCAGTAGAGAAAGACCAGCAGAGGCAGTCTTGATAATGACATGCAGTACAAATAAATCTGTAAGCCAACCGATACTTCACAGGCCACTGTCCTTTTTTAATCTTTAACTATGTCAAGGGAAGAACGTGAAAGTTATGCTGAACTTCCTCCCGGTTCCACACTTCCCTAGGAGAGAATGTATTTTATGTATGTGTCAACTGGCATCCATGTACCTTCCCTTTTCTTAGGGACTCCCTTCCCGATTTCTCCCATTTGTTATTAAAATTTCTAGCACTGGCCAGGTCAGCCACACCATAAAACCGGTTGTCTTTTTCTCTAACTTCCCCTTCTGCAAGCTTCACTTGGAATTCATTTGTCTTTAAATACTCTGATCCTTAAGCAATGACAATATTTTTATTGGTCTTTTCCAAGTCTCCCCCATGTGATTATTAGAGCCCAAACCCTAAACCCTAAAATACCAACAGAACAGGCAGGAAATAACAACTTATTCTGCTTTCAAACAAGTAAAAATTTTGGAATTTCTGCGGAGTTCTGGGGTTTTTTTTTGGGGGGGGGACTATCTAAATTATTCTTCCACCTAGAGCTAGTGAGGGAGGCTGGAGGTGGTTTCCCCACACTTCAAGGTTCGGAGAGACCCACCCCAAGGGACAAGCCCTTCATTTAAAGAAGACTGTCTAGAGATTCTTTCTCCCCTGCTGAGATAGAATGGTGGGAGGGTTGAAGAACTCAGGCGCAGGAGGAAAGCGGACGAGACGTTTCCCAGCTGAGGTTCACGCCTAGCCCTGTTGGCCAAATAAGGTTCCCCAGCCAGCAGTTTCCGTGGCAGGCGGGTTCAGACGTCCTCGGGTCAAGGAGGAGGACCTGGGATAGGATCCGGCGATCACACCCTAGACCTGCCCTGCCCAGCCCAGCCACGAATTTTCTTTCCAAGTTCTGCCCAGTCCAGACCGCCCTTCCTTTTTCCACTCATTGTCAAACGCAGCAGAAGCGCCGTCCGGCAAAAGCCCCCAACAAAGTAAACCGGTTTCAAAACCCCGGCGATCACGACCAATTTGCCAGATGGGCTTTATTTCTGGGCGCACCGACTTTGCCCCCAGCAGGTTACACAATGGCAAATATTGAACGGAGGGGAAAGAAGCGCTTCTCCGTCGCCTGGAAGCCAGCAAACAAAACAGCGCCGCTCTCCCCCTTACGGGCGCACCTTCTCCGCACGCCCGAGCGTCCCGGGGGGCCGAGGTGCTGCCCCGCGCCGCCTGCCCGCGATCCCGGCGGGCGCCCCCTGGCGCGCCCGGCTCTCCCGAGCGCCATTCCCGGACAGCCCCGGGCTGCGGGGCTCCATCCCGCCCGCCGCGCGCCCGCTCCCGCGCCGCCCTCCCTGCCCGGGGGACCTCGGCCACCTCCGCCACCGCGCGCACCCAGAGCACCTGAGGAGCCGCGGCTCCCCGGGGGGACGCGCGCCCGATCCTCCTCCCGCCCCGCGGTCCCCGGCGCGCAACACCCCGCCACCTCCTTCGCCTCCTCTCCCCCGGAGCGGATCACGACGCGCTCCTCCGCCGCCCGCCGCCGCTCACCTCCCGACCCGCGCGGCGCAGCCTCCGCCTCCGATCAGCGCTGACAAGTGGCTCCCGGTGCCTGTGCACTGTCCCCTCTCAGGCCGGCGGGGAACTTCCGTCTCCGCGCTCGCCCCGCCTCGCCCCGCCTCGCCCCGAGGCTGGCCACGCCCCTCCCGCCTGGCCACACCCCGAAGCCGGGCTGGGCGGGGCCGAGCCTAGCAGGGTTTAGAAGGCGGCTTCTCCAGGCAGGGTGCCGGGACTTGCTGGGGCTGGCTGCTGCTGCCTCAAAACAATTCCCTTGTGGAGTTTCGGTGGGTGTAGTCTGGGATTTCGAATGGTACCTGGCAGAGAGCTAGGCTTCCGCTTTTCTGTTTTGTGTCTGAGCGCTTTTCAGTCTGCAGAAACTTGAATTGACCCGCAGTTGGTCTGGCTAAAATTAGAAAGGGGCTTTGGCTGAATCTCTGGCGACGCAAGTTCAGCGACTACCGCCTGGTTTCGTGAAAGACGTCTGTGTACTCTGAGAAGTGCAAACTCTGAAGTTTGCTTGTCAGCAAGGTGAAAATCGCTAACCCTAATAGGCAGAAGTTAAATCTGTCGTCGCGCTAAAAGACAGCCATAGAAAGCAGAGGCCAAAAGTGATTCAGGCACTATATCCTCGACTTCTTTTTCTAAGTTCAAATCAACAACACATTTACCTACTTCTGTAAAGTTGTTTGGTTTTGCCCAGAGAGTTTACTCACAAGCAAACATTAATAATTGTTCAGTGGATACTCCAAAAGAAACTTGCAGTTTTCCCTTACCCTTTGAATTGTCTTTTGAAATGTTAAAAAGACAAGTGTTAGTCAAGTAGTGGATCAAACAAAAATAAAACTCACAGAAGTCCATGATTCTTTAGAGGTGCAAGCAAAATTCTAGAATGGGACCGAAGCTAAATAAGTAGAAGCCACTGGCCACAGGTGGCTATAACCATTTGAAATGTGGCTACTGGGATTTTTAGAGTTTGAGTTTAAATCATCTTGAAAATGTTTTATATTATTCTAATGATTCTAAATTTACAAACATGTAGGATACTATTTCCATTATTATATAACTTTCAGTAGGATGACATTTCACTATACTGTTGAACATTTAATGACTAACTTGACACATATGTACTGGGATTTTAAATCTTTTTAAATTTAAAAATATGTATGTTGATTACATACTGAAATTATATCATCTGTTTGTTTAAAACATTAAAATTAATTTTATCTTTTAATGTATATACTAGATATTTTATTATGAGTGTTACTCGCCTACTTTTGTTGGAAGATTTTTCCAGTGGGAGATTTGACTACTGTGTTTTACCATTCAGAGTTCTTTAATATATATTATGTTTCACATCTCATTCAAAAGTAAAACAAATTGTTAAAATCAGTTAACATTTTACAAATACCATGCTAGGCAAAATAGAAAGTGTTACAGTTGCCTTCATAAGATGAATATCATCCTTATTTACAATTTTTAAAAACTGAAGTTGCAACAGATTATATAATGTGATAGACCCACTTGTAACAAGTCAGTCACTAGTGTTACCGTGTAAGAGTTCATCTCTTCACGCCCTCACCTGTTTGTGGCTGACAGAGCAAAGTTGAGCCTAGATCAAAGAAATCTCATTAGCGTGACAAGCAGTATCAGGAGAGAATAAGCATCTTGAGATGATGAAGGAATAGCTGAGAGTAAATAGTGTCCCAAATGTAACCGGAATTTTAGCCCTTATTGCAAAGTTGACCCTGAACCTCCTCCCCCACTCCCACTGCAGTCCAAAGCCTCTGGTATAAAATGAGCATGTTATGCATAAATTGATATTTATCCAGTTGCTCTCCTGGAAAGCCACTTTTTTCTGAGTTTCATCCACACAGAATCTTTGCATGTGGCTCTGAAAAAAGTCTTCCTTTTAAACAAACAGTACCTGTCACATTTCCAAGGAATTATTAAACTATGATGTTCCAAAGTTATTTCCCTATCTGTGTATGCCTCAAAGACATAGAGGACTTGTGTGGCATCTATGAGGTCCTAGTTCTATCCTCAACATCACTACTATCACCAACACATCCACTGCCGCCACCACCACCACCACCACCACCATCACCTCCACCACCACCATCACCACCACCACCACCACCACCACCACCACCTTCACCATCACCATCACCACCATCACCATCACCATCACCACCACCACCACCACCACCACCACCACCACCACCACCATCACCACCACTATCACCACCACCATCACCAGCATCAGAACCAGCACCAGCACCACTCACCACCAATACCATCACTACCACCAACACCACNCACCACCACCACCACCACCACCACCACCACCACCACCACCATCACCACCACTATCACCTTTACCACCATCACTTCTACCACCACCACCCCCAGCACCAATAACACCACCCCCCTAAAAATAAAAAACTACTTCCCTAGAAATGTTTTTGGATCCCAGTTAACTGTATTCAGTGACTAGATGAGGAGTGCTTATCTGTTACTTCATCTGGAAGGGAATCATAAATAACTGTGAGGTTATCAAGTGATTCCACAGTATTGCTTGATACTAACTATATTACTTTATTGGTTCCGGAATGCCTTCCAATATCAAAGTTCTTAGATGCTAACATTAATTGTGTTAAATGCTGTGCAGTTTGCATATATGTATATAGTTCTGGTACACAGGGTGAACAGCTATTATGTCCACATCATAGAGAAAGTGACAAGAAATAAAGTCTGTGTATATTCTGTATAGTCCTGATATCTTTTCTAACAGTATACATCTGTGCTTAGTTGAATCCTCTGATTCAAAACTCCAGCTACAGAGGGTGGCCCATATATACAAAACATGCTTGGCATCAAGTAGGTGGTAAATGATAGCTATATAAAACTTCCCTAATTAAGTGATTAGATTGCTGAATCATAAAAGACAAGTGGAGAACTTCAGCACCCGCTATGCATGCACTGTGTTTATGGTTCTTTATGTACAAGCATCTTATTTAATTCTTTCAACCATGTATTTTTCAGAGATGGAAACAGACACTTGAAGGGCATGATTAAACATAATGGTAGCTATGGGGCTGGAGGGATGGCTCAGCAGTTAAGAGCACTGGTTGCTTCTCCAAAAGACTGGAGTTTAATCCCCATAACTTACATGGTATCTCACAAGCATCTGTAATTTCAGTTCCAAGGGATCTAATACCCTCTTCTGGCCATGAGGGCACAGGGTATTCATATGGTAAATAGACTTACATGCAGGTAGAACACAATGCTCTCTCACCAAGAGCCATAGACTATCTAACAAGACAAGGCATGAGAATCCTTTTTTGAGGGTCAGGGTTTCCAGGAGATTCCCAAAACATTCTAGGTTGCATTTGGTTGCTCACAGAAGCACAAGGTAAGTCCTTATTGCTGAAGACACCATGCATTTCTGACACAGGACCCAGAGGACCTGAGCTAGATCTGGTCTCAAAGCTTCCTCCCTGAGGACTAGTTTTCGTGTTACCAAGTAGCTCCACATGAGAAATTCCAAAGGAGGGAAACAACCAACAGCCCTGCCCAACTATGAGGCCAATGAACCTTAAATGAATGTCTTGATACCCTTAAGGTTACAATAGGGGCACACACACCTTGGTACCCAACCGCTCTCTAATTCTACTAAAGACCCATCCAACAAGAGGGAAATTCACCTGGTACTGGAAACCAAGCCAACTACCCAAGGCTAATGAAGTCATGAATCTTAGAGGAAAGCCTACAACTTTCATTTTACTAAAACAGCATAGTCCCTAACTACATTCTAAATATTATTCCTTATATCCACAAATAAGTATTTCTCACCCCTAACAAGGAAAATTCCCTTTGCAACAGAAAGAGGCCATTACAGAAAACCACAACAGATCAAAACACAGAGTTAAGGATCCCAATCCCAACCGATACATCTATAATATAACTCCTGGACCCTGAGACTCGGGGAACATTGGAGAAGGAGAAGGGAGCAGAAGATTATAAGAGCCAGAAGAACTGATGTTTACTGTGAGACTGTGTCTCCTCGAAATGCCAGAAAAGCTGCACCATGAAGTCTCACCAACATGGCTGCCTAAGCATAACCTAAGCAAGGATGGCAGCAATAGACTTGTTAGCATGGAAGTGGAAAAGTACTTGGGGCTCCACAACCTTAGACAAAGAAGTACTGGCAACTAAGGAATACTCAGAGCAGGAGAACTAGCCTTCCCCAGGGAAGAGAAACCCAATGATTATCCAATAACCACAGTCAGCTCTGAAAACATATACATACAAGTAACATTGTACAGACTGAGCATGTTATATTTATATATTTAGAAATAATATTAGACACAAACGTATATTTGTATATACATAACAATAATGTCTTAATTTGGGTTTCTATTGTTGTGAAGACACACCATAACCATGATGACTCTTATAAAGGAAGGTATTTAATTGTGGCTGGCTTACAGTTTCAGAAGTTTTGTCCATTATTTTCATGATGTCATGCAGGCAGACATGGTGCTGGAGAAGAAGCTGAGAGTTCTACATCTTAATTTGCAGACAACAGAAGCAACTGTGTCGCTGGTTGGAGCTAGAGCATATGAAATCTCCAAGTCCACCTCCACCACAGTGACAAACTTTCTCTAACAAAGTTACACCTACTGCAATAAAGCCACAACTCCTAATAGTGCCACTCCCTATGGGGGTCATTTTCTTTTTTTCAAACCACCACAAATAATGAAAGTAAAAGAAACCATGAATCTGAATGAGACCAAGGTTTGGCAAGTGGGAAGGTTTAGAGGGAGGAAAAGTAAGGAGGAAATGATGTAGGAATATTACAATCTCAAAAAAAAATAATTTAAAAAAAGATACAAAGTTTGGAAGGGGTAAGGAAAGGAAGAGTGAGGGGAAGGAATAGAGGGTCAATAGGATCAAAATACATTGTATGCATTATGAGATTCTCAAAATATAAAAAATATATGTATCTTAAAAATACTCTCATACATGTGAAAAATAAAGTAATAAAAGTATTTTTAATTTAATGACAAATAACTGTGATATAAGTAAGCCATTCTTCTCATAAGAACACACTTGCTGTTGATAAATGAAGTAAACTACCTAACTTAAAAATGAGAAAAAGAAGAAAAGGTATAGAAACTAACATCAGAGGT